AGCGCTCGAGCACGGGACTGATAGGTCCTGGGTTCGAATCCCGTGGAGGGTGGGACCGTGGATGCTCACTGCTGAGAAGTTTCATACTAGGACCAGGTTTTACATGGTGGTCTAGCTTTAACTGACTCATGATTTCAACTATAAGTTTATCATATTAAACTGTGTGTAAGAGAAAAGATGATAAATTATAAAATGAATAAATCCACTTTACATAAACGATTATTATTTTATTTAGGAAAAACAAAAAAACAGAAGAAAATATCATTTTTTCTTTTTTTCCCCTCCTTTTAACAATCTTACGTTTAAAAAAGAGAAAAAAAAGAACATTGGAATATATTCAATCCTTTATTATTTATCCACTCACAATAATTCTCTGGATCAGTTCAACCCGTATTCTAAACAAATTAATCCGATAAATTTAGAAAAAATGAGAAAAAAATGGTTTAGAGATTAAAAATTATAACATTATTGATAATTATAAATTGATCTATTCTCATTATGAATATTAAAGAAAAAAATTAACTAATGGGAATTTATTGAATAAAGTCACGATTTAAGTATAGAGTACTCAATTTTTAATAATACAAGCATTGAGTATATTTATTGAAATGATGATTAGTAATGAAATATAGAAGCATATGTTTTATCTAATTTGCAATTCGTCAATGTGATTTGAAAATGCAACAGTCGAATCACATTTGACGGAGAAGAGTTGGAAGATGTGAAAACCTTTACATATCTGAGAAGCATCATTGATGAACATGGTGGAACTGATGCAGATGTGAAGGCGTGGATTGGCGAAGCAAGAGCAGCATATTTACAACGGAAGAACATTTGGAACTCAAAGCAACTGTCAACCAACACCTAGGTCAGAATTTTCAATACAATCGTCAAGAAAGTTCTATCATATGGAGCGGAAACCTGGAGAATTAAAAAAGCCATCATCTAGAAGGTTCAAGTGTTTATTAACAGCTGTTTACGAAAAATACTTCGGATCTGTTGGCCAGTCACTATCAACAACAGTCTATTGTGGGAGAGAAAAAACCAGATCCCAGCGGAGGAATAAATCAAGAAGAAGCGCTGGAAGTGAATAGGACACGCATTGAGGAAAGCACTCAATTGAATCACAAGGCAAGTCCTCACATGGAATCCTCAGGGCTAAAGGAGGAGAGGAAGACCAAAAAACATAACACGCCGAGGAATGGAGACACACATAAGAAGAATGAACAACAGTTGGATAGAACCATAAAGGAAGGCCCAGAACGGAGTGGATTGGTGAATGCTGATCTGCGGCCCATGCTCCACTAGGAGTAACAGGGGTGAGTAAGCAAGTAATTCTTCAGTTTTATCTGCTTGGATTTCAGTGTTGATTTTGCTACTGATACTTGAACTCATGAAGTCATCTACTGAACAGCATAATTTTCAGAGCTGTCGACTTGTCCAACTGTCATGATATATATGCGAACCCGTCAAAAATATTAAAAAAACGTAAAAATATGAAACATTCAATCAACATGACATTCCATGCAAGCGAATAAATAAATGACCCGTGAGACAGCCGATTAAAGAATAGTGTACATACATATGGGACTAATATGTACTAGCTTCGAATCTCGTTGGAAACATTAATATTAAGATAGAGATATATCAAGCTGATGAGTCTTTTATTAGGCAAAATATGAATCATTTGATTCAGTCTCTGATCAACAATGTAATTAGATAATACAGGTAGGTAATATTGAAGCATATTTTCGAGAGGCTATTTTGAACTGATCAATTCTACTTAGAATATCAATAAATAAATAGTAGTGTATCTCTGACTATTTACATAACATATGGAATAGAATACTTTCAATAATAATATATTCCTCTAATAATGTTAAATGAATAGATCAACCCACTTTTGTAGAGATCCAAAAAAATATTATCAACTAAGATTACCCAAGTTGACGTGTGGAAGTTTCATTCATACTTTACTATTTTATTCTTATAAATGATAAAAATGAAAATAAATAAATTTTTTATTAACATATTTTCCATAGATTAGAATTTAATTTCATGGTAAATAAGATTTGATGGTCTATTTGAATATCTAATATACATATTTTTTCTGCGATTCAAATATTTTAACCAATTACATAGTAATTTTTGAATTTATCTCAACTCCGTAATTATGCAAAGAAACTAAATAGCCTATTGAGTTCAGTGTATAAATGTCTACAACCTGTTGCTATGCAAAATAGAGTAGAGTAATACCTTAGCCACGTTTGTAAATGTGAACTGGAACCAATCTATGTATTAAACAATGTCATCGACTTTTTTCTGTTGAAATAGCATCCAAAACATTTAAACACATACAGTGGTATTTATATTTTCAACATTTACGTGATTCCCAAATGCATCTCGTCTGCACTATTTGTTTGCATTAATGGGTTCACTGAATTTACTGCTACTACCATTAGTGGGTTTTTCAATCGCACGCAGCTTTCTTTCATCTCTAGGTCACTAGAATCTAGTCTATTTCTCCTCCCGTTCTGATGTTCTACATTAAGTTTTCATTAAAGATGTGGGAATATATGCGACTAGCAAAAGTATTCTTCCGCTTAGTTCTGATCACTGTATAATTCATCTAGAGTATGTGTCAAGCTTGGAAAGAATACATTTTTTCACTAGACAAAGAAATTCAAACATTTAAATAACTCAGAGAAAAATATACAAGATATGGTATCATGTTCCCTGTTTCTCCATGTTAGAGGAAATTTAGTCACAAAGTTTGCTCAAAATGATATTTTTAAATGCCTCAAGTCGTTTTACTCGACAAATTGTTTAGAAACCGACGATATTCCAACCCCATTCTTTAAAAAGATGTACAGATGTCCTATTTTACCCATCAAAGAGCATCTTTAATGAATCATTTCCAACTAATTTCATGTTGAAAATGTCGAAAAAATTAAAGATAATCTCAATAACAAATATCGTATCTGGTGATAAGCATGAAAGATTTCGACCAACAGCGATAACATCACCTTTTTTAAAAACGACGCTAAAACTATCGCTATTCTCACTTGCACTGAAGGAACATACTGATCTAAATCAGTTTGTTTACAGATAAGAACGAGGCACTTTGGATGCTGAAGTTATCTTGCACAATAGCGTGTATAATTTCCAGTTTGGTAAGGAGTAGAATGTTAGATTAGTGTTTATAGACTACACTTGTTTTTGATTCTATTCCATAACTATGAATATTAAAGAATTTTCCTAGTGTTAACACCAAGAACTGAATAAGCAACTGGGGTGTTCTTAATTTACTGGAAGTGTGCTGGGCTTAGAGGAAAGTAGTTCATTTATTTATTAGCCGAAATCAGTGTACCGCAAGGAGCTGTTATTTCCCCATTATTCTGCATGACCAATCATCTACCAAAAAACAGTTGTGTGATCCTATTGCATGTACGCCAGTTCCTTCCTTAAATTATATGGAAAGGAATATAATTTTGGCCTTCGTTAAACGGTAATCTATTTCCAATGATCATACAATTAATCCTTCTAAATATCATAGTTAAATTTTTAGCCTGGGATATGAAAAGTACTTAAAAGCCCTGTTAGAATCACAAATTTGGAGATTGTGTAGTAAAAACTAAGTCAAACGTCACTTAAATATGTGTAAGCTTTTTTTGACCTCTGAGTTTTCTCATGCTGTCAATATTGGAGGGATTCCATCTGATTTATCACACAAAAATGAGACGTTTTCGGCACTATTCAACACTTTTATGGTTTGTAAGTTCTTGTATATTACCCATCACAATTTCCTGTTTCCCACCATGTTATTGGTTTTTACAGTTTTTAAAGAAATTAGCAAGATGTGCAGTGAATCTTTTATAACCGCTTTTTTCTTGTATATTATTCGGCAGAACAAGATGCATACGCATAAGAATCCATGCACGCAAACGAAAGCCCTATAATACTATATCTAGAACATATTTTATACGGTGAATAGGCTGTAAAGGCTTATAGTCGTGAGCCTGTTGTTAATTTACTGATGTATTATTATTGAGTGGTCAATAAAAATCCCAGAATAACAGAGTTCATGAATATTTAATAGTTGATACAGCTAATATTTGATAGATTAAAGTCTAAGGTCTTTAAGTGACATAGTAAATACGTCGATGTTGAGTTATTTAATTGAATTCCAATAACCAGCCTATCATAACTTCATCTATTTTAGTTAAGTTGGTTTGTGGCCAATAGTGAAATATGACATGTAAGTCGTATTCTATAGTGGACTAACCAGTTGGGTGAGCCTGTATTGCAGTGTTGATTGTCATACTGAAGCCAGACTATTATAAATTTATCTACTTTCATTTAAGCGGTTGGACAAAATAATAGAATTTGCATTTGATTTCTCAACTACTTACAAGTAATAAGGGTTACACTGAAAATTATATATATATGTTACATCATGTTTGAGACAAATCCCTATTATCATGTAAGCATCTACTACAAGACTTCAGTTGAACAGACATCACTAAGACGAACAAAACATTATCCCCTACGCTACTAGATAGCATTGTTTAAAATTTCCATGAATTCTTGACAAGTGACTATTAACATACAGTTTGATCATTTTAAGTTGTATAAATGTGTAGACTCACGATGATGAAAAGCTAATTACAAAAAACATAGTTATCTGAACCAATTTTTATATTTCCTTTCTGTAAAAATTGAATAATCTAAGTTAAAACTTTAAAATACAAAACTGTACAGAAATCACTTTTTTCCTTGAGAAAAAAAAGAGATATCAAAGTCAAAATGGAAATGTACAACTCTAAAAATATACATTTTAAGTCTCCATCTGTCTATCTGCCTCGCTTTAAATCACAAAATGTACATGTGGTGTTTTATTTTCATTATCATTAGACACCTTCACTTGGCTCCAATTCTGCACGTGATTTACCTTTATTCCTAGAGACTTTTTCAGTAGTATATTCAATTTCTTTTTCTTTATAATAATGCGGTGCAACTTCCAATAGCCACTTTGATTCAATTTCAATAATTTGACGCATGAATTCCTTAGTTGTATATACCAATTCATGATAGATAACCCATTTTGGCAATGCTTCAGATAGACATGAATTTGGATGTGGATAAATTGTGTGCTTTTGTTTTACAGTTTTATAACCATCACCAGTGAATCGTGCTGTATGATAGAAAAATCCAGCAGTTATAGCCTAATAACAACAAAATAATATAGAACAAGGAATAAAATAAAAACAGAAGGAACATGATAAGAAAATGACAGAAAGAAAACACTTTTGTAGTAAGGGTTTCATTAGAAGTGCAAATTCATAACCTTAACAGGGATGGAAGCATAGGAACAACAGGTCTTCTGGAGATTCAGCATTTAATAGTTTACATATCATAATTCAATCATGTCAGATAGTTTTCTTTACAGTATGAAAGTTTCACAGTTTATAAGATAAAATACTAGCATAGGACAAAACATACGGATTTGCTTAAATCGTTATTGGACACAGAAGACAAAATAACTCAATTGAAAAAGTTCAAATCAAATTCATAAACTATTATGCATAACTTCTGAAAGTACTATATCCTCTTTAAAGATATTCAGTACAATTTTAAACATCAACTTCAATGAGTGATGTAACCCCCTTTCATAGTTAGTGACCCATTATTAACTTATAAAAGTATTCTATTGACACATTATCAATCAAGCACTAATCTGTCAACTTATTACGAGTAATTTTGTAACAAGCTTTTTCAATATATAACTCTAAGCCTAAATATTAATTAATAATTGCTATTAATTATGCAACTGATTCTTGTTGAGAAAGACAGATCATTTCGAAACAAGAAAAAGAACACTGTAAGTCAAATCCGTATGAATTATTAATACAACACGATAGATTATATAGCTAGTTACCTTTCGAATGTTCACATGGTCATGTGGATTATTCACTAGATCAATTTCAACACGATCTAACAAACCTACGAATTGATCACGAATATCACGGGCTCGTTTCATAGTTCGATACTGAATAAACTGCTCATAACACCAATGAGAAGAGAAATCTAAAATGCGAATAAAAATTGATTTTTACAAACACCAGTATTTAAGTGGACTATATTCGGAAGACTATTTCCACAAAAAACCTTATTATATCATAAATTTCTTGTTTTCTACACAAAATTTCGTTAAAAATATTTGGTAGTTCAGTTCACGTATTTTCTGGACATACCACTATATAAGAAGAGATCACTTAAAACTATAGCCTCTATTAGTATTATGTTTACATGTACTAACGAGTCTTAGTTGATTTATCAAAGATGATATGCAAAATGTCATCCAAAATCTGTCTACACTGAAAGTCATTTAAGTATAGTCAAATGGTAATAAACATCTATAGGAAGGAAGTGCTGATAATACCATCCGTAACGACAACGAAAATTTCTGCAATCAAGTTCAAAGAACTTGACAACGCCAAAAAATGAAAATTTTTATTATGGAATAACAAGGTTTTATTTTCACATCAGAAAATTAGCGTCTTTGTCATTACTTTTTCAATGAATTTTAAGCGACGATAAAGCGCATCGTCTATATCATCCCAAACATTTGCTGACTAAAATATTTGAGATCTAGCACAAAAACATACATGGATTTGTAATCCATATATATAAGTTAACCTTATTGCAAAAAAAGTAATAGTATTTAACCACACGAAAAAGCTAGATTTGTAAGCCATTGAATATAACACATTCCGGCTCATTAGTTTAGAAGTGTTCGTGTGTAAGACCGAAGTTCCGGGTCGTGGATGCGCGCTGCTGGGGAGCTCCATACTAGGCCGAAACAGTCTTCCAGTACTTCCAGGTTTTTAATGGTTGTCAGACTTGGATCGGCTCGAGATTTCAATGAAATACAAGAGCGATGAAATATATGAATCCGTAAATTAAACGGTCGAACTGGTCATTAAACATTTACATTAGTACTGAAATATAATGAGATGGGTCATATACATGGAATACGCTAATCAATAAACCATAAGGTAAGCTAACATAGAAATCCACGAGGAAGCTTTTCATATACACGTAAACACTGAAATATAACATATTTTTCAAATATACCAATCATTTGGTCTAGGAGATAGGATCAGCTGGAAGAAAATGATGTGATAATCTCCTAATTTATGGGATAAATAGTGCATTACAAATGAAATGCTATTGTTATGAATGGGAAATAAATCTATACAATTTAAATACGGAAAAACTCTAAATGGATATGTTTCTGTTCGAGTCCAGAAAACCACTTAAAACAACTCAACAATCAAATGACTACAGAATGATTTCCTCATGCTATAAGTTAAAAATAAAGACTATAAAGCTTTCCAGGCAGAGGCAGATGGTGGATAGAAGGACGTGAGTTTCCTCCCATTTGGGACATGTCAACTGGATGTAACTGCTTTTTTACTCAGAAATTGAAATAACAGAATAAAACCTTCAAACGACATGCACTGTTTACACTTGACATATTAATTATGCTACTTCCCTAATTTTAAAGTAGTAAGGTGTATAATAAAGAATTTCAACAAGTTCGAATTTATTGTTGAAGTTCATAAAAGAGTATATTTATTACTGATAAGGAAACAATTAGTGAAAAACTTAATTTTTTTACTCCTTAGTAATTATTTCATACTATAAAGGATAATTAACTGACAATAAAAGTGTTCACCTCATATCCATGTTATTTGACCAATAGAGATATTGTAAAGATTAGTAGTATAAATGTACAATCTATCAGTTAAATATACTAAGTAATAAATGAAAGAATATCTAACTCAGTAACCGTATGGAGAGATTAGTCTAAAACAATGATCCCTACTTATTGTATGAGTAGTACTGACAGTCGCAGACTGTTTAAATCTAGGTAGATAAAAAGATTTTTAGACGCTTAATTACTGTTTGACAGTTCAATAATTAATCAAACACCAACCACACCCACCTTGAAGATGAAGCAATTAAAAAGCGAAATGATGTGACATACATTTTTATTTCAGTTCTATTAGTGATCAGTCATTATTGGTAGAAAATGACTTTAGTATGAATTACCGTTGAACTAGAAGTTTTTGAGTTAATAAACAAGAAAGAATAATAAGTTAATACCTGTCTATCAATTCCGTTCATAAGTAATATAACGCCGGATACACTATACTTATGAAACTAATTTAATTTAATTTAATTGCTCGATATTAAATTGTGAGGATTGAAAGCTTACCCGATTCTGCCCACTGATTATAAACATTCAATAGCATAATATGATCACCGGCTATATGAGAAAAACTTTTTCGTGCAGTATCTGCATGAATTAATTTATCTTTCGGTCTATAGAAGATGGCATTATTTACAGAAAGCATAGACGCAATAGTGATAATATCACCGGAACATTTATACCTTTATTAGGGGGTAAACGAAAAAGAAATTTGTACGTTACTCAAAAAGAAAATCAAGCTATAACAGATATTTTTCGGTGTAAGTACCTTTCCTTCTCGCGGTGAGGGTGTTGTTTATGAAACTGAGAGGATGAAAAACGAATGTCTAAAGCTTTATTTGGGTTGGTGGATATAGAGGAACCACCTAGAGGAATAGGAAAACCCCCATTCCAAATCAATGATGTACATGGGCTCCAACATCCTGATCGGAACAAATGGTGTATGAACCTATTGTTGGTCACAGGCTATCGTGGAACTGCATCTTCTCACGTTGCTTCACTGTCTTGTGGATTAGACATCTAGATCAAAGGCTCGGGGAGTGGACCTTTAAGGAAACCACCTGTCTCGGTTTGAGCCCTACAGGAGTATTCCGGACCTCACAATAATCGGATGGCGAAGTGTGGAGCATATATATAGTTGGTGCCTTTTTGTACCAATGTTTATATGTTTGAATAAATAAATAAAACTAGATTTTGAGGTAGATAAAAAGAATTTTAACTGTGATAATATTTGGGAATTTAAAATTGACGATTCTCCACCAAGAATCTACTAAACTACATGTTAAATAAATAAACACCTTGCAGATGAATACATTTATAAGCTTTGTAAATAGGATTGCCTGAACAAATAATTGATGATGCAACTGCTTATCTGTAACCGTGTATGTATGATAGAATAACCAACCTTCTGAAAATATTTTCATAGTCTCGCGAATATAATGTATATATATATACAAGGGAAGCTCTACGTATCAGAAATGGAAATGAATAAACAACTAGTGTATAAACGTATCTTGAGTATCAGCTAACATAATGACGTATCTCTCTTACAACAGTCCACCGTAGACTATATATATTTTAGATTATATGTTCAAACAATGACGACATCTAAGAAAAATTATCTACATTCTTTGGATGTTCTGGTAGTAATGCCAACATAACATAAATCATAACAATACATCATGAAGAATATAAATATAAACTTTAATTATACTATCAATAATTAAATACAGAAAATTTTACATAATACATATTGTTTCAGTGTGTTACCCTTAAAGTAAAATAAAAACCAAGTGACAAAAAGTTAGTGATTCTTCGTTATTTTAAACGACATTTAAAAGTAACAAAGTGAGATTTTTAACATTAAACTGAAAGAATACAACAAACACTATGATGTTAGATGCAAACCTGATTGCGGAGTTCGCTAATTCATGAATGGAAAAGAGTGGTTTAGTTGACCAATGGTTGTATGTTAGCTACAGGTATTAATTAACTTTTCTCGGAAATTATAGACTGCTTTTGACCAACATTAACTTTCGGTATAATGTGACTGTATTCAAAACTCTATCTGGTTTCCAATTGTATCCTAGTGTATATACAACTCATTATTTCTTCCGGCAATCAAAATACTAGTCTACAAAACGGGATTTGTGTAAGTAAACTGAACGTGAATAAAATTGCAACTGATTATTAAAACAAATTACCGACGTCGAGGAAATTGTTAACTAATTATTAATAAAATATTAAGACGATTTATTCTTGGGTTATACACTAATGAAACCAGAGAAGTGTTTACTAATCATCTACAAAATTGTGAACTTATTATCTACTAATTAAATCTGATTCGACTGAAGGTGGATAGCGGACACATTGTGGTAATCATCAAACTGCCTCACAAAGTATGTCCTAACTTGAAATCCTCAAGGCAAAAACAGAAGCAGGCTAAAGAAAATATTGCGCAGGGAATTAGAGGGAGTTATCGAAATAGTGAATAGCACTTGGAACAACTGGAAAGGAGAACACAGGACAGAGTCGGGTAGTGATTCCTGGTTGGCAGCATATGATCTACGAGGGATAACAGGCGTACGTAAGTAAGCAAATCCAATCCAATAATTCTGTCTTCATCTGATCACCCAAATACATATAAATAAACCATTATTATTATAGTTCACCAGATACAGCAAACAGCTGGGTTTTTATTTAAATATCTACCTGTTTTTATTGTAATTTAATAATTAAGAAATATGATTTTGGTGAGAACGAAAATATACATTTTTAAAACATTCAACTGAAAATATGAACATGTAAAACAGTGGAAATACAAATGCAGAAATCCCATGAAAACCAACGATACGTATAAACTCGTAGACGACTTATTCGGTTAGGATTTTACATTCAACAAAAATAATTAAGCATCTAACACCATAAAACTTTTTTGAGATAATTTGCAGAAGTGTATATAATATCCAAACATTTTAAACGAAAACTTACTTATCTGAGGCTAAAATCATTTTTGATAATTGTGGATTACATGGGAATTCAGCCATTTGACGACCCATTTTAGTTAGTTCACCTTTATGATTTAATGCACCCAAGGCGTATAATTGTTCTAATGCCATAATTAAAGCATCGTGTGGTGGGGGATCCATATAGTCAAAATGTAGCAGATCATCAATACCAAGAGATTTAAGTAATAAGACAACATTGCCTAAATTTGTACGTTGTATTTCTGGAATAGGTTGTGGATCTAATTCCGTATGGTAAGCATGTGAAGTGTATAGACGAAAACATTTGCCTGCGGCTACACGTCCAGCACTATAATATATATGTATAAACACATAAATAAGAAAATGTAATTAATCCTATTATCTAAAATACTTGAGCTGTTCACAAATGAAATAAACAAAATCTCATGACTAGATTTTCTAAATGAATTAAGTTGATGTTATGGTCTCTGAGCTGGATGGTGAAGTTTTCATTGTTCCTCTGACCAAAATCATCAGCACGCACTTCAGAGAGAAGTGACCTGGTATTTGGTCAACAAAACGAGCTGTTAGTTAATTGCAAAAAATTCTAATACCCCACATCTCTGAATTACTTGCTGATAATATTGTTTAGAAGAACAATGAAAGCTTAATAATCTAACCATCCAACTTAGAAACAACAACACTCCTAACACCTATATCATGAGCTACATTTTGAAGTTATTAAATAAATTTTGAAAAACAATTTACAGAAAGGATTTGACGAATGAAATCTGAGAGTTGATGTACACAAGTCTATCACGGTACAAAAATGTACATATTATGTTATTCAAGAGCTAATGACCTATTCTCGTTTTTAAAAAACAGCTTTTATCCTCATGAATAAGTTAAGAGTACCAATGTAGTATACCTAACAACGTCAGCTATATGAATAACAAATAGTTGTGAATTAAAATTGTATACAAAAGAAATTGTCATTAACATATATTAATTTGAAATAATTATTCTGTCATCAATCACTACATCTTATGATAAAGGCATAGTGGCAAACAGCTTGAAACACATAACCTTCCCTCTTGTACTATATGTACCGAGCTCGACAACTGTAACACCTGACTTTAAATCAATGGATATGAAACATTTATCACTTGAGGAAGAGGATTTTTAAACTACATATGATAAATGTGGATCAAATAATGAAAGTAAACGAACTCGAGTAATCTTAACATTATTGCTCTTTGGACACTGAGTGACATTAACGCTTTCAGTATTAAATGTTCAAGCAATTCTGAATGTTTCTCAAAACTACTATTACTATTAGAAGAAAAAGAAACAAATATCTTCACTCAATGACAATATTCTGTAAGGTACAAAATAATATGATACAAAACATAACATGGCTGGTAAGATGAAATCTAGTCAAATATATTTGAATAAATTAGATGCCCTGATACAGCCGAAGGTGGGGAGAGTCCGCTCTACCCCTCAAAATGCTTTCACAACCACTCCCAGTGAAGTCTTACTCACCACCATTCGCGGTGAGGGTGTTGTTTATGAAACTGAGAGGATGAAAAACGAATGTCTAAAGCTTTATTTGGGTTGGTGGATATAGAGGAACCACCTAGAGGAATAGGAAAACCCCCATTCCAAATCAATGATGTACATGGGCTCCAACATCCTGATCGGAACAAATGGTGTATGAACCTATTGTTGGTCACAGGCTATCGTGGAACTGCATCTTCTCACGTTGCTCCACTGTCTTGTGGATTAGACATCTAGATCAAAGGCTCGGGGAGTGGACCTTTAAGGAAACCACCTGTCTCGGTTTGAGCCCTACAGGAGTATTCCGGACCTCACAATAATCGGATGGCGAAGTGTGGAGCATATATATAGTTGGTGCCTTCTTGTACCAATGTTTATATGTTTGAATAAATAAATAAAACTAGATTTTGAGGTAGATAAAAAGAATTTTAACTGTGATAATATTTGGGAATTTAAAATTGACGATTCTCCACCAAGAATCTACTAAACTACATGTTATTTATTTTTACTACTATCAAATATTCTTTTATCTCATATGTTGGTGTTTTAATTAAGTACTTCCTTCTAAGTATTTCGAAAATTTTTGACATACAATAGAAGTAAGTGTACCAAGTTAGTTTCCAGAACAAGGTTTACTAAGTAAGGCAGAGAAGCTTGTGTATGTTTGCTATTCTCAGTAGTTGTTGTCATCAGTATCCCATTCCTTGACTAACAAAAGTACATCAATTATGACCGATAATCTCATAATGAAAACATTGCTACACAGTGAAAGTTTATTGTAGTGTGGGTTATGAAAACAAAACAACCAGATATCACTCTAATTATAATGTTAACGGTTTTTATTATGTGCCTAAAATTCAAAATGATAATTAATGACAACATTCGACAAATACATAATTATATGCTATACTTTGAGATTACTTTTACTTATGCATCATAGATTTTGTGAAATATTTTCATGTAGCAGCCAAGAAATGCTTTGAACATCGATACTGTGTCTATTAACACTGTTAATATAACAGTTAATACCTAATTTAATTATCAAGTGAATGGATTTAAAAAATGTTATTGAGAACTTAGATAACCGAATTGATAACTCAAACACCCATCAAAGTAGATTTTACAAAAGTCAAATTATTTACTAGACAGCCACACATGCAAAAGAAACAAATCAACCATTAAAAATCACTCACCGTCCAGCTCTTTGATCGGCTGCAGCTTGTGATATTGGAACAACTATTAATGATTCAACACCAGAACGTGCACTATAAAATTTTTGTTTACAAAATCCAGTATCAATAACATAAATAATACCATCAATTGTAAGTGATGTTTCAGCGATATTTGTGGCTAAGACAACTTTTCGAGCACCTGGTGGTGTCGGTGCGAAAATTTTCGCCTGGTAATTTAGAGATGACAGAAAGTTACATCAAATTTTAAGCTGTTTAATGTATTTAGTTAATTCGCTATTTGTCATTTAATAAAAAACAAACAAACAATTGCATTTGACCAATAAACAAAATCACATAAAAAAGGTTTGTTAATATAAAGATTTATTGTCATAGTTTTCATATAACTATTGTGAATTCTAAATGATCTCTAACGAAGAAGAACAGAAATTTGCTTGCCTTATCTTAAAAGTTAAAAACGAACTAGCCAATAAAAATAGTACATGAATTACAATTTGATTGGTGGATTTGTTTTCCCACTGTCATTTTCTTAGTTATTTTTACTGTGATAAATACAAAAGTGATTCGTCAATTCAATTAGAACTAAATAAAAGTAGAATTTACTCTGATATATATATATATATATATATATATATATATATATATATATATATATACCAAATGATTTGTTGATTAAGTGTATTAATGCTAAAAATGATACGTTTTGGTTGAGTCGATACATTCGGCTTCAATCCCCCAGTGCCCATTACTACCTACCACGAAGAGTAAATTGAACTCTATAGCGAAGAGAGAAATATTATTAAACAATCGAAAACAACTTAGAATTATTCTATGCAACAAAGCCATACTTTGATTCCATGTTATAAAGATCGTAGACTAGAATATATATTTCTCAGTTTAAATAGTACATGTTTAGTGGAGCTCTATCCAAAAACTTAATAATATAATTGCAATATACCTATCTTTCAACAAAAAATGACAAAGATTGGTTTTGGAAAATCTCAATCGTTTTAGGTTTTTTGAAATAAATATTTACGCTTAAGAGATTACAAATGTTACACGAGACAACCAGCTAAGCGTGATCATTACATTTTCGACAATTAGGATAACAACATGTTCTACTAAAGGTAAGTCTATCCCTAATGTTGCAAAATCAATACGTGATAACCATTTAGGTTGGTCGATATTTAATCCAGCTGCATAATTTTCTTATTTTTAGTTGGTAAATTGAATTTAAGGTTAAAGAGTATACTAGTAGATAATTCACAAAAGAAAATCAATTCTCTAGATGGTCTTTGGAATATCCATTACCAATGAATATTGCAGAACTTGTACAATCTTCAAACTGGACAAGTCTTAACACCCCCCGATAAAAAATATAATCAACTTTCTTTATAAATCAATAATAAGCGACTTTGTAGACAAATACAGAGGTACAAACCAACTGATTGGTGGTTTATCGACGCAATGCCTCTCAGATCCCCCAGAGAATTCCTCCATATGGTCTTCAGAAGCTAAGAAAAGGCTTAGAACATTTTGTCCAATTAGTATATGCCAAAAAACTTAGGAAACTAGCAGATTACGCGACACACTCTGACTGAGTGATCACTTACTCTATTACTTAATTTGCCGTGCCTGGAGAAGTTTCCATAGGTCAAAGGTTAGCAATAACTCTATGAATACGCTTATTTTTTGTACATTACCTAGCCTTGCAGTATATAATCCTTTCCTAATTCACGCCTTTTCCATCTTGTACGGGGTTTAAGTGTGGGAGAGTCCTGGCGATTTAGAAAGCAGCCAGGAATTTATTAGCACACCGATCAAGTGCTTTTTAAATAGGGTAACTCGGTTGATATGAATCCCTCCAGATTTTGAGACTGTTGGTGCAAATACATTTCGGAAGTTTAGCAGTGATTTTCGGGACAAATAAAAATAAATGAACACGAATCTCGCAGAATTTACCATTTCTAAAGGGGATCTGAAGAATTACACAAAAAAGTATACATGATTTCGATAAATGCTAATTAAAACTCAAACTATCACACCAATAAGTCAATAGCTCAAGAAATAAGCTATCTATAGACTTTGCTTTATAATGCAAGTGTATACCTACGTACAAGTAAAATCACGTAACTTGTTTTTCATCTTGTAATGAATTTTACTTTAAAAAACGAAGCTTACTTAAAATAAAACCCATCAAAAGTGAGAAATATAATGAAGTAATTAAAAACAAATGTATATATACCTGCATATCAGATGGAAGACTAGAATAAATAGGTAGAATTATTAATTCACGAATTTTACTCCCAAGTTTTCTTGTACGCTCCATTAATAACTCATTGGCAGTCTCAATTTCTTCTTGACCAGTTAAAAAGACTAGAATATCACCTGGAGGTTGAGTTACATGTATTTGAAGAATAGATATGATAGCAGCTTCAATATAATCAGCTTCTGGAGCCTAGAAAATAAAACCCAATAAAACAAAAAGTATTTATAATCCAATAGGGATTAGTATAATTTTCCAAAAACAGCAGACAAACAGTCAAACTAAAAGTATCAACTTAAAGTTCAAGGCCAAAGTCATACTGCTGACTTCACTGGGGTGCAACGGTAGTAGATTCTTTCCATCGGATAACCAGCATCCACAGCGATGCTGCCTCACAACCAAAAGATTAAAGGTCAGCCCTAAAAATGTCACACCTCACTTAACCTCAAGGATTTCCGTTTTTGGCGGTAAAGCTTTTGAAGTAGGAAGGTAAAAAAGTTTCATCTTCTTCAAGACGATGCATCCTTCCATGGCATGAGCAGTTGAGAAGTGGCAACAACCTCTTTACTTCTGGCAACACCAGAGACTGATAGATGATATAGGATGTATTACGGTTGTGTAAAACAGTTCATGTTGTCACATTTCATATAAACAGAAGGCGAAATCAAGACAAGATCAAATAGATAAATAAATATAAACATATCACCAACATTAAAAATAAGGAATAAAGATATGAAATGAAAGTGTATAATAATACAATCTTAAAAATTTAGTGGAAAATCAAAGGTGAGTATACATCTTTAGCATAATCTTCGATGTTTAATTAACAATAGTTCACATTTTCAAAGGAGTTTAAACTAAACCAAATGAACCTTTGATTTTTTCCGATCTGTTTCAAACTTAATCTTACATTAGTCGTAGTAGCAAGTTGACTCAAAATTATTTCACCAAAGTACATCACTCAAATTACATTGTATTTATCGTGATACAAATTAATATGAGATAATATGGGATAATAAGAAGATATATAAATTTACAACTGGCCGAGTCAACCTTTTAATTAAGCACTAAAATTTTGTAAACAAAATGGCCAGTTCAATCGTATCTACTTGTGTGAATTAACTTGAGTCACCTTGTAGACTTACTAACCAAAGCTAAAACTTTTGCGCGCGAGGAAACAATTGTTATTCATTCATTTTATTCAGTAAAACTTATTTATTATTATAGTGGAGCACAACCTAGTGACTAAGGAACTCAACTGTCAGCCCCCAAGTTGCACGTTCGAACCCCGTTCTATATAGTTTGGTTTGGACAATCGGATAACACCGCTATCCCCTACGCTCAGAGTGTGATTAAACGCAGGTACACGAAGGTGTACCCGGTAAATGAATTAAATTGATTATTCACTAAACGACCAACCCACTTGGTAGCATTATAGAAGTGCATAACGTTTGTAACTGACCTACCAATCCCAGGTTTAAGTAGTCAGCTTGAGTTGCATAACTTATAAGAGGGATATCGATGTTGTCCAACCATCTAAACCGAATCAGGTACAGAAAAGCTCGAACTTCTGACCTACTGGTTTAACCACTAAGATAGTGATTAGCACTACGAAGTAGATCGTGACACTAAGTCATCAAAAACAACTACTATAAAAGTTACAAATCAAGACTCAAGATATTATTGGTAAATAAACTAGACTGCTACATACAAAATAATTTAACAATGATGATCAATTTTTCGATCATATTTGAACTTTTTTTAAAAAACTTCACAAAACAAAATGAAGACTGATCATTTTAGTTAATACATTGAAATATTCAAAACAGACTTAAGACCGATAATGTCGAACAAACTATTTCAAAACTTACTTTTGTATAGTAGATATCAACTGGATAACGACGACCTGGAATTCGGAATACAGGAGCATCATCAAAAAATGTAGCAAATTTTTCTGCATCTAAAGTAGCAGAACTAATTAAAAGTTTCAAATCGGATCGAAAACGAGCTACATCCTTGAAAAGTTAAATTTTTTTAAAAGGAAATATGTTAAATAGACAATGATGTTTTGTGAATAGAAAAAAAACAAATATTCATGTTAAATTACACGTACCTTAAAAGTTTATTATCAAATTGTTACTTGAATAGTTGTAAATTTTTGTTCAGATGTTACTTTTGCATAATTAATCTATTGGATCGAAATAATATAAATATCTGTTAATGAATAAGACTGTATTCTGTGAATAGTTCAACACTTATGTTGACAGTTATTATTAATAATTTATTTATTTATTTGAACACATAAATATTAGTACAAGAGGGCACCAATATATATGCGCCACACAAAACAATGGGAATTCGAAGAGGAGAAGGAAAAAAGGTGAGGAGCGTAAAAAAAGAACAATAACGAACAGAATAAGGTAAGGTAACGTAATAACAATAATAATGGGGGAAACGAAAGGTACAATCAGAAGAAATCTTTCAGCTATGGAAGAAGCAACCACTTCTTATGAAGAAAGTAAAAGGTTACAGCAGGATCGCCACTGACTTCTATTCTGAGCCATATCTGATAACGTCTCTAGCCACTGTGTTGCACCATCTCTCAGACCCCAGCCAGGGAGTCGTGAAGGACCCTTTGCAGATTTCTTTCATACCACGACAACATGTCATACACTGACCATTGAATTTTATTAGTAATAGAATATTTTCCATAAATATTCTATTACTAATAAAATTCAATACAGGTGTATATTTTAAGTTCACTTGATGTATCAATCATATATATGAAGATAACTGTAATAATAAGCCAATATAAAGTAAATATCATCAACAATTCACTCCTGTTAGAACATTAGCCTATTACTATGCTACAGTAGAGATAAGATGCCCAAACATAATGGGTATAGAATGTTATGATAAAATAATATTGAGAAAAAAACTTGGGAAAAAACGTTAATTTGTTAATAAATACAGTAAATTCTCATAGCTAAATAAACGGAACCGAATCGGGAATAGAGAATTTTTTACTTTTAAAGTTTATGAGTAATGTTTCGCGCTTTAATTTATACTGAAAAATAAATATGATTGGAACTTATTCGATCAGATTAGAGTAGTGGAAAAGTTACGTGAGAAGTTATATTAATTAGATAAGTTGGGGTATAATTCAGTGATACTTTGATTTTTTCCGCCTTGAAATACACTTATATGAGTAGTATGAAATTAAGAGAATCTTTTAAAAATAAAATTTAACGCAAAATTATCTTATTCTAATTAAAAAGGTAGATCCATCCAGATATATATTTACAAATATGACAATACTTTCTTGGATAATATTCCGAATTGCGCTACTCTAATTACAAACTGACTAATTTAGTAGTCGCATAAACTATTACTTAGAATATGTATGACATAGAGATTAATAAACAATTTCCTGAATAAAAGCTGATGAACATTTAGCAAAAAAGTAGTTGAAAAGACAAGAAAAATGATGAGTGGTTGTTTCATGTCATTTGGTTAGAAATCATTATAAAGTAGAGTAAAATGTGATTTATTGTGGCTTAACAATATATACATTTTAACTTTTAAGCAATGAATTGATTAATTAAATGTTTATACTGTACTTTTATGTAGACAGTTTGAAAGTATCATAAGACCTTGAATACTAGCGAATAGATTGAAACTGTTAGTCCGCATGATAGAAAAAGAGGAAAATGATTCAATCAATAATAGTTTACCTTTACTAAACCGAACAGTATATCTGTATGTAATGTACGTTCATGTGCTTCGTCTATAATCATTACCGAATAACTGCCCAAATCTGGTTCTGTGAGAAATTCACGCAAAAGCATGCCGTCTGTCATGTACTTTATTATTGTATGCTCTGAAGTACAATCTTCAAAACGAATACTGTATCCCACTTCAGATCCAAGTCTAACAGACATTTCTTGCGAAACTCGAGCAGCTACTGACATGGCAGCAACACGACGTGGTTGTGTACATCCGATACGTTTTCCTCCATTACAATAACCCTATTGAAGAGCAAAATGTTTCAATAAACAGAAATTATTAGTATTATTGCTAAAGTATTTACACTTTCAATTGAAGGGTATTGAATGAAAGGCTGTAGAACAAACTTTGCATGTTGTAATAATTCTTTTTTGTTAGGTAGACAATTTTTCATGCCCCAGTATAGTGCCACTCAACATGACGACTTATCGTTGGGTAACATCTTACAAAACAAGCATGGGAAAATACATCTAAAACTTTTTTACAACATAACGCACCAAGAAACGAAGACGACTTTCAATATATACTGAACAGCACTGAAAATAATATTACACGACAAACATATTTCAAAACTCATTAAGTCATTACACAAAATGAAGACGTTTTAGCAGAAAATTCCTTTCGAATATGTTATTTACCAGAGTTGTACAATCCTATTTAGAGTTATTTTCTTCACATATAGTATAAATCAGTCAATAGCTTGATCGTTGAACATCTAGTCAATTCCGGTCATCTATCTAAATCAGAATCCTCATTTAATATTATTCACAGGATAAGACGGACAAGAAACTTGCACATAGCAGAGGTTGGTTCCTTGAACTAATTTACAAAATTCAATCATATTCATTTCGTTTCTAATACATTTCCGATGATATTCATATGGAAATTATTAAATGATAAGATGACTATTATATCATTATGCTCCTTACATTTATCGCTCTTTAATATATTTTTCTAGCTCAGCTGAGTAAACTAAGAACCAAGAAAATTTTCTGCACTGGAAGGGTGTACAGAATCGGAATTCATGTAAAGATGGATTGAAATGTATTGGTTTGTAGTAGACGGTTAGATCTATGATTCTATTTGCATTACTCTTAGCTAAATAGTTTGAAAGTTGTAGTTCACTATTTATTTTCGATTTCGAAAGTGAATTTGACATGTGCCGAGAAAGTACTTATCAGTCTAAGAAAGTTTCTCAATGATGATAAAAATGTCACCTACATATCTGAGCCAAATACGAGATTTGACAGAATTGGGAAAAGTACGGGGCATAACGGAGGGGGCTTAGTATTTTCTGTTTTCCTTACATGCGGTGAATGAGGTTGAATTCAACCCATTTGAGACTCGTCAGTTCGATGTACTTGCATTCCAGGGTTGACGTCAGCTTAGGGACTCGAATCCAGTACCGGTCATTTTAAACGCAATCGTGTTATCCACCTAGCTAGAGTCCTGATAGCCAATATCCTGTGCAATTGTTTGTTTGAATCTGCCCATTGATATTTAGAACTGCAGCCGATCAATCAATCTCTGGACCCGGTAGCTAATTTGATAACGGGATGGCGTTCGGGGCGGATGCTATTGGATTCCAGTCCCAGAGAGAACATTAACTCTGGGATGCAAGCACATCCAACTGGCGAGTCCCAAATAGGACGAAACGCACGTCCTGGATCCTACTGCTAGCCACAGTCCATTTTTGCTTATACTACTTGTGGCTTAAGGCAATACCGAGGCGATCCGCACAAGATGTTCATGTGCCAATAAGAGATTGATCAACTGCAGTCTTAAACATTGATAAAAAGATCCAAACAACCAATACAAAAATGAGCTATAAATTCGATCTTATACTCATTGGGATATTACAAATACATGATTATCATATTATTTTATGGAGTATTAGAGTTGATTAGCTTCAAGTGAACACCTGTTTTAAATTTTTCGATATTGTTATTTATTTTACCATGCATTAATTTTGATGCTTATCCTACTAGTTTTGACTAACTCGATGAAATACCATGATGAATGAGAAGGTCATTCAGAGTAAAACACTTTTCTTTCAAAAAAAACAAAACAAATATGAATGGTGAGTAAATTATAAATAAATAAAGATGTTACGACAAGCATACCGCTTCGTACAAATACTGAGGAATTTGAGTTGTTTTACCAGAACCTGTTTCACCTTCTATGATTAAAACCTGATGATCAGCAATAGCTTGTAAAAGAGCATCCCGGAATTTATAGATCGGGAGCGAGCGTTTTGCTTCCTTGAGGGCTTCACGTTTGTCAGTAGCTTTTCGTTTTTGCTCTTCGTCTAGACTGACTTCTTGTTCAATGTTGGCACCGGGTCGAGTTAGTGTTTTTAAAAACTCTATTTCATCATCCAGAACAAGATCATATTTCACCTAAAAATACCAAAACACGCTCATTTGTCACTATGGGTAAATTACGAAGTTTAAAACAATAATAATAAAGTTAAATAGAATCTACACCATAACCACCTCGATTAGTGTTGATACAATTCCCAGGTTACATCAGGAATTATTAACGTAAGATTTATCAAAAATATGTATCGGTTCAACTTACCACACTTTACAACATTATCGAGGAAAAACTAATCAAATAAAAAACAAATGAGCTTAAGTGATCGTATTAGTGGTAGCAAAAAGATAATACAGAAGACACAGTTCGAGAACGATTAATGAGAGCAAAAATGGGAAGTATGAAATATCATTAAAACTCAAAATTTAAAGGGTAATAAGTAAACACATTTAGGAGACTGATAAATGATTTTGATCTATATTGTCTAACGCTGCCAGTCACAAATTATGTTTATTCTAAGGACCTCAATAAGATCAGTCAGTTAAGATGGCTGGGACATGTATTACGTATGCCCAACCACCGACTGCCTCGACAAGCGATGTTTTGAGGTGAAGGAGTAGGCTGGAAGCTATGAGTGGTCATATCAAAACATGGCACTAATGCATGAAGTCACTGACAAGTGAACTGAGCCATGTTGGTAGGTGTAGACTACCTAGTTGGGATCCGCGAGTAGATAGCAACCGATGGTTAGAGACCTTGAATGACATGGCTCAAAATCGTTTGCAATGACACAGGCACATCCACTCTTTGTGTTCTCCCAAATTCTAGTCTTCTGAATTCTTCAGTTCCCTTTTTCCCTTTCCAAATTTATTTCACTGGATTATACTCCTCGAATAACATCTTCAAACTTCAATCTTTCGGATTACTGCTTATACTTTGACTACTTCTACCACTATAGAATTTGAATCGCAATTGTATCTCTGTGCTAATGTGGTATGGCAACTTGAACTGATGTACGTACGTTGTTGCTGACTGACAGAGTCAATTAGTTAACAATTTCATGAACTGAAGCTGTGTCTTGATCTCGCTGTTTCTGACCTTCTTCTATTTAATCTTATACTGGCCAGCATAGCATGCCTGTGTAAGAGATGACTGGACATGCACAATATATCTCAAACTCCTCAGTCGATGAAGGTCCACAAACTCACTATTTTGTTTATTTATTATTTATGTGAACACAAATATTGGCACAAGGGGGCACCATATATATATATATATATATATATATATATATATATATATATATATATATATATATATATATATATGGCCCCCAAATGCCCTGGTACGGCCTCTCGAAATGCTCTCACACGGCCACGCGTATATAGCCTCTGCCAGGGAAGTCTTCACTGTCTTCTAGTGGCGGGGGTGTTGTCTACAAAACTGAAAGGACGAAAAGTGAATGTCCAGTGTTTTAACCGGGCCGGTGGGCACGGTGAGTCCACCTAGGGGAGTTGGAAAACGCCGATCCTGAGGAAACAAATAGTGTATGAACCAATTGTTAGCCACCGGATTCCATGGGACTGCATCTCCTCACGATGCTCCACTGCCTTGTGGGTCAGACCTTTAGGTCAACGGCATGGGGTGTGACCCCTAAGAAAACCACCTGCTTTTGTCTGGGCACCCGAGCAATATCATAGCCGTCACACAATTAAAATGAAATGACAATGACTATTGGATACACTACAAACTCACTAACCAGAATACCATCTAAAACTAATGCTGTATGAGTCATTTAAATACTTCCCACTTGACAATTCCACCATGTCATTAAGCATTATATATATATATATATATATATATATATATATATATATATATATATATATATATGGAAAAATACTAGCAGTCTGTGTCTTTTACTTCAAAATTCCACAATCCATAACCATAAAATAGAGCAGAATGAGTTTCTGCTCAGTATATTTACTCCTCAATAGATGCATCGAATTTCTGACCCCATGTTAAAATATTTGACCGTATTAATATTTTTATTAAAACAGATCACTTTCTATGAAAGTCAGTATTCATAATTTGAAACTGAGTGATTAATGAGAGGGAATTCAAAACAAAATATAACCACCTATGTGTATATAAAAGATTAGACGCCAAAACTGATCACTGCATATTTTGTTACCACATAATGTTCTAATTTCTCCTCATACCATATCCTTGTTTTTATTTTCATTTTATATTTATATTCTGTTTGTTGACTTTTACTACACCAGTCAATTCAGCAAATTGATAATACTGGTATTTGTTGATGTGTCAAAACTACCTAGCTTACGATATAACCACTGTCATCAATCAAATTGTATGAACAAATAATTTGCAGAATATGTACAATGTTCATATTTAATTATGAAGTTTAAGAAGAAAACTCCGTTGAATTTTTGTGTTTCGTATTAGTACAAATTTTGTCAGTGATTAAAACACTGATTACATACTTATCACTAAAACCTTGTTTGGCTACCTCTTTTAAGCGGGTGATTATTTTGCATTTCTGTAACTAACCATAAATTGTCATTTTAACTACTCCCTACTATACATAGGAAACAATCCAACCGGCTTTGCAACCTTCCTAAAACCCAAAGAATACTAACCATACTTTAAGTTATTATTCAACTTTGAAGCACTGTCTGTACCAAAGGGTGATCACTAAAGCTGTGTGTATGTAGAAAATACCTGACCAATGGGAACATTCTTTATGTTGATCAAAAAGTGACTTATATTTGTGAAGAAATGTGCGTCTACTAAACCTTTTGAAAATATTATCCTGATCCTGATTCACTTTTTTCTGCCGTTCAAAGAGACAAAGTACCTTTAAATGTCCAGTGACACTAACAACCCCGTTGGTAAGCGAATTGTTTTTATTCTTCATAACCAGTGGATAAAATAAGGGGAAGTTCGAAGCCAACAGACAACATAATTCCATGTTTTGGCAAATGATTAGTTAATGAAAGTGATACTGTGACCTAGATATTTAAAATACCTAGCTTTTCAAATACTTACAACTGTCTGTTGTCGTTAGCTACATAATCCATGCATCAGTATATTTCATTCTCCATAATCTTCAAGATGATTGCGTGATAAACCACTGAGTTTGTTTTTATTTTCTCTCTGTTTAATGAATCGTTATTTACAATTAGGAGCACCACAAACTAGATTGATAAATTCAATTAGCTGTTTCAACTCAATCTTCATTCATGTGGTTACGATCACTGCTGACTGCATTACACTACTGAAGACTACTATATAGACTTGGAAATGGTGGAGTAGGAAAATAAAACCTTCGATTATATTTTTGAGCTAGCTAAAACAGCACAAACTAGGAAGGAGTTGCCAAGCCGTACAGTGAGTTCCGTAGTAAGTGAGATGCAAGTGTACGTCAGTTATGATGACCAACTAGATTTTAGGCCAAACCAATATTACTGGATATGTTTGTTGTTTGAGTTAGTATGGATTTGAAGAGATAGACACATCCCTTGCATCCCACTCAAGGAAGCAGGAGAGACAGTCATGAATTCGAAATACTAACATTTCGATCAACTAATTGATAAGGCAATTGCAAAGTTGTCTGGTTTAACTAATACTAAATCGTCATAAATACTTAGTGCCAGTATGGTGATGTAATGAACATCTGTCATGATTAACAAAATTAGTTTCACCACACACAAGATGCTCGAGGAAGCAGGGGTAAACCGAAACTTGTCAAATGTCACCTACAGGTGCGTATATTAATTTACACGTACGTGCAGAAGGTATATCGGAAGGACAGAAAAGAGGCATTTACACGACTTATCGGGCATGTTCCAAAAAACCTACGTCTCCAAGAACAAAAAAGTCTTCATAGTTTAGTAATATGTAACTTGCTGGACGTGGAACAATAAGTGGATACAACAGATGCATTCGAGGTAACCAACAAACTGTGTAGTTCTGGCTTGCTAGGATTCATGACAAACCATAGTCATCAAAATACATAAATATGATCTTTGTAATCAAAATTTCAGTGGCTGAATTCCAACTTCCCTAGTAACAGAAACGGATAACATGATTACCAGTTTCTTCTTATCCTTCAACTAACTAGGATAAATAAGCAGTGAGTGAAACTCATAAATTCGTATATATATATATATATATTTATTCTATGTAACAAAATGATTTTTAGTACTCTAAAACTAAGCTCCATTTACTAGTGGAAAGCTTCCTTAGACCGTCAATTTTAAGTTTTTTTTAATTGTAAACGACTTACTCTTTCCTGATGGACAACTTGTTCCTTAAAATTACAATTATCCTAATATTCCAAACTAAATAAACTTACTATTTTGTGCATAATTTAGGAGAAAGCGAGATCTAATCGACTTATTATATCCTGAAAATATCGGCTGGCCTAAATTTGCGAATGGAACCGATTACATCAAAAATAAATTAGAACTGGTTAGGTGGTCAGAGGTAATCAGAAGGAAATTCTCCAAACAACCCTTAACCACTTAATATTGAAACAGCCCACAAGATGTCGATTCACTTAGTCTAGTGGCCACATTCGCAAGTTGGTCGGTAGAATTAGATCACTATTAAGGACCAGACAATAACAGTATTGGTCACTATTCAGTGGTTAATCAGTTTTTTAGAAGGGCGTTTTGCTTTTGGATAGTTGAGTAATATATGCTACCTTCATAAAACAGTGCATTCAACATGTGAATGAGACTTAGAGTGAAATGACTGGGTTTACCACTTAAAATAATTTTAACACAGTGACTTTTATACTAAACTTAAGCACAGCCAACCTATGATACTAACTCACAGAGATTTTACTGCTGGGTTTATTAATTAAATACCCGATCCAGTTGATTGTGTTCCTGAGAAATAACAGATAATTGTTGAAAACCCCAAAACGGATAATTACAGTAACTGTGGCAACCTTGAGACCGGTCGGAACAAGTAATACTAGTGTTCTTAACTTCATCCATCGATACATTTCTCGCGTACATTTTAGCTTCTAACTATTTTAAATGTTGGCGATAATGACTAACCCGAAGATGTTTTACTGAGTTAGTTTGATTAACCGTGAATGGCTAAAATTTACGACATTTCCTCTCCCACTCAGTAGCAATAAAAATTTTGGTTAACAATTGTGGACATACATGTGTACGGACTGCTGAAATATTCAGAAACCCGTGTTTCCAGTCCTAGTATTTAATGTCATCTAAGTAGTATAAAACCTGAAGAAACGAATTTCTCTGAGATTTTGGATTAAGAATAGCACATAACACAAAAATGATCTTAAAAAGTAATAACACAACGAACATACTTCTTGTTCAACTTTGTCTTTGGCACCGAAAGAATAAAGTGCCGAGGAAAGATGTTCCTGTTCCCATCTCTTGCCTTCATCATTTAATTTACTTTCAGATCCTTTGAGTTCGTGATCTTCTGGTCGCTGATAACATAATAAGTCAAAATAAACAAGAATACCTTTTCTTCAGTAGGAATGTAATAACGAAAGATATTTTCCAGTTCTCCTGCTTGCTGATGGGATTTCGCAACCGCCAAAATAGTTTTCTTATATAATAGTTCGGCCTTTTCCTTCTCAGTTAATCTAGAAATTCAGTACGGAAAAATCCATTTTCATACTCTTCATTTTCAAAAAATAGTTCTTCATCTTGGATTTCAGCTTGAAGATCTGCAAGTTTGTCAGACTGTCTTTTTCGTAGATATGTTCGTCTAGATGCTTTGCGCAGCTCGGCAATCATTTCTTCACGACTCTAGAGAAACGTTAAGGAACGCTGTGATAACTGGACATACAACTTCACCACTCGTTATTTTTCTCAAAGCTTCCTCATGCTTACTAGCGGACCTAGAAGAAACCCCTTTAGTTTGTTGCTGATCCCGGTCAACAAGACGTTTAACGAAGGCATCACGTTCCTTTAAATCATTTTGACGAGTTAACTCTTCTTTCTCATACTCTTCAAGTCCACTGGATTCGCCACTTTTTTCACCCTCAACACTAGAAAAAGAGATTGAGTGATCAGTTAGGTTTTACATTTCATCTTCGGTACTGCTTTCACTTGCATTCCGTTGTCTGAAACAACGTCGCTTTGGTGAACTCATTTGTAACGCATTTGGAAGTAAGAAGCGCGTTTAGTGTTTCAAATGGTTTCGAATGGTTCTTCAGTCTTCAGTAATAAAGATAAGAGGTCTGTCGACCTATATTAATCCTTGCAGTTTGCAATACTGTGGAGGTCCAATCTTTTTTTGAATATATAAACAGAAGGTGCTGATATTACGTGTTCCAGTAGAGAATTCCAGTAATTCACTACTCGGTGCGAGAAACGGAACTCCAGACGTAAACGGTTTGATCTCGGTTTTTGAACTTTCTTCGAATGTCCTCTCAAATGATCGGTTCTAGACGGAAGCAAAAGATAAGACATGTTAATACCAAGGTCATCGTTCAGTATACGATAAGCCAATATTAGATCACCCCGTACTCTACGGTAAGATAACGGAAATAAGTTGAGGTGTCTCAGTCTGTCTTCATAAGATAGACCAGACAGACCTTGTACCATCTTAGTACCTCGTCGTTGGTCTCTTTCCAATATATCTGCTTCATACTTGAAACAAGGACTCGCTGCTTGAATCCCGTATTCTAAATGTGGTCGCACGTAAAGCCTTTTGCAGCAGCAGCCTTACAGTGACTAGTCGTTTTGAGATCATTGCTTAATATAACTCCTAAGTCTCTATAGTTTCTTGCTTTGGGTAGCACGAATCCACGTAGTTTATAGTCATACGATTCATCAGAGTTATTTAACTGCATCACTACATTCTTATTAGGATTTACTTCTAGTGACCACCTGTCTAACCATGCCACCAATGAGCTAAGATCATTTTGTAATACTATCCTATCCGACATACTGTGTATGGGTCTCCAACTTTTTATGTTATCAGCGAAGAGTAGAACGGATGGTTTTCCTACAGTTGGCAATTCATTTACATAAATTAAAAAGAGAAGAGGACCGAGGATTTTACCTTTAGGGAACTCCACTTTTTACAGGTACCCATGGGGAGAGAGCCCGATTTACCCTTACCCTTTGTCTCCTGTCATTGAAAAATTTACTTATCCAATCGACGACTGTGTTATGGATTCCAAAATGTTTCAGTTTGAATTTAAGATCAGAGTGGGAGACCTTATCGAAAGCCTTACTTAGATTTATGAAGATCACATCCACAAGAATATTCCGATCTTTTGCAGCAGCCCAATCTTCTATCGCAATGAGAAGATTTGTCAAGCGTGATAGGTCTCTCCGAAAACCATGTTGTTCCCTGGAGAAAATATTATGCCCTTCAACATAGTTTATAACAGATATTCGAATAATTTTTTCCATCAGTTTTACAACTGCACTAGTTAAGCTAACGAGTCTATAGTTACTAACTAAATACCTACTCCCAGCCTTATACATCGGACTTATTATAGCGTCTTTCCAGTCTCCGGGCAGTCTGAACTGCCTCAGAGACATGTCGAATAGTATCGCTAGTGGTTCAGAAATTACATCTGATAAGGCTTTCATAATCCTAGAATGAATATCGTCAGGACCACTGGACTTATCATGTCTGAAATGCTGAAGTAGCCTTAAAACAGTACCTTTTTCAATGACTACAGGATCCATCAGAGAGCCGCCACAATCACAATGAGTCATTGGTCGTTCTTCATTACTGATAGAAAACACTGTACTGAAATATTCCGATAAAGCTTCAGCTTTCTTGATATCATTTTCTGCCAAGATTAACGGATTTTCTTGTATCAAAAATGCTGGAATTCCATCGCTTCTCTGAGTTCGCCTTTTTATATACGAGAATAACCGTTTCGGACTATATCTAAAAACTCTAACCAATGGTTTTTCATATGATCGTCTAGTCTTACTTATTAACGCTTTACAGGCATTCCTGATCGTACAATAACTGGATCTGTATTGATCTTGGCAACGTATTCCTGAATGGTTGATATGTTAGTTTTCCATACATTTGGGTGAGATGTAACCTGATCGTATAACATGTCCCTAGTTCTGAACGCGAATGACAAAATATCATGATCACTATTCACTAACGGTGGAAGAATATTTAAGTCGACAATATCCTCAGTCTCATGAGTGATTACCAAGTCCAACAGAGAGGAACCTTGGTTAGCATCAAAACGTGTGGGTTTGAATACATGCTGCACTAATGCATGCTCCATTATTGTTATCAGGAACCTACTATCAAAGGAGTTTATAGATCCTTCTGTGGTCATCTCTGTCCAACTAATATCAGGTGCATTAAAGTCTCCTATTATCAAGCATCTGGTATTTGCGCTCCAAAGCTGAATGTGCTCTAAAATAAAGTCATCAACTAAGCAGATTGAGCTACGCTTGATGACACCGAGCATTAAAGTACTACATCCGATAGTCAGTTCACAGCTAATGACTTCGATAGCAGAGGAGCGGATAATTATATTATTGACTATATATAACAGGACGTCACCTCCTTTTGTACATCTACGTCTATCACTCCTTAGGTAATGGTATCCGGATAATTGCGGAATAATGTCTAGTCAGTCAGTCAGCCACAACGTAGGACCAGGCACATATATGCGTCGGTCCAAGTTGCCATACCTCATTAACACAACAAGATGGACACCAGATTCATACAAGTGGTTAATTCAAAGGTAGTAATATATAAAAGAAAGATTGCAATAAGGATATATTACAGGAAGAAAGAATTAGTTCGTAGAAAGAAAGATATGAAGCAATTTTAATCTCTTAGTTTAATAGAAGACAGAGAGTGTATACATCGACGCCATTGTGACCGATTCTGAGCCATGCCACCAAGAGTCTCCAACCATTGGTTACGATAGTCACGCGGACTCCGAATAATGTCTAAGTCATGGACTAACCAAGTTTATGTCACTGCTACAATGAGTTGCCTTAATCTGTCCACTAATGCTTCTAGTTCATAGAACTTATTTCCTAGACTACTAGCGTAGCATTCGCTTCCAAGACCTGACTATCCGAAAACCCACTAACCGGAGATTTCCCTCACCGTTTTGCTGACGGGTTACTAGTTCAGCTAGTGCTTTCTTCTTTTCTTTTCTATCTTCGACAGACATATCAGGTCTAACTCGGATGTCGGAATTGTCGTGACGAGCGTTACTTAACAGGAGATCCCGTTGCTTCTCCGATCTTAGGATTACCTTAAGGACTCGGCATGACCGGTGTTCAACATCGTCCTCACTCCTCTTGCCTATTCTAACCAGTTTTTTTACCTGAACTCCTTTAGAGTTATCTGGCAACATACCACGAATATATTTTCTCAGCTTCTCTAAATCATGGAATAAAAGAAGCTTTCACTTAACTGGTTTCCGTGTCTAGAAGCAGTGGATCACCGATGCCGCCAGGTTGTAAGATAGGTATATTTAACTGTAAAAGAGAGAAAATAGAATGATAATGTCGTTAGTCCTTACGAATATGCCAAGTTTCTCTTAAAAGACTTCTGGGAGGTCGCTTGGACTAGCTCAGCTGGCAGAGAATTCCAGGATTCGACTAATCTTAAGGAGTAGAAGGTGTGCGTACAATCTGGTTTGCTATGTTGTGTCTAATTTCTGGGTGTTAAACCCAAGGCTTGTGTTCGGACTGAACTTATGTAGGTTCACATGGTTGTGGGCGGTTTAGAAGAAGCTTTTGCTTAACAGGCTTCGGTGTCTAGTAGCAGTGGATCATCAATAACTTCAGGCAGGAACCTAGGTATATTAAATATAATAGAGTAAAAAGAAATCGGTAAGTTATAGCAAGATCTTATTCTTAGTCCTTAAGGATAGGTCATGTTTTCACTTAAAGGACACATGTGAAGTCGCTTGAATTAGCTCAGCTAGTAGCGAATTCCAGCATTTGGCAACTCTTAAGGATTAGAAATTGTGTCTACAGTCCGTTCTGATGTGTTGTTTCTAGTGTCTGGGTGTTACCCATTAGGTTTGTGTTAAGGCTAAACTTACTTAGGCGTTAAAGGGGATTTCTAGAAGCTTTTAAGTCATTAGAAGGTCATCCACAGGGTGCCTATGCTGGAATAAGTAAAGGTCTAGTGATTAAATGCACTCGTCATAAGGCCTGAATTCGAGTCTCCGAACTGATTTTGTGGCTCGTATTTGGATGCGTTCCAATGTATCTTCAATCCTTTGACGTTAGAGGGGAAACACCCTGTTTACACACCATAAATGAGGACGAATGAAACTGTTGAAGATCAAGAGCAAAGTTCTATCGTCGAATTGGTCAAAAATGCGCTTTAACGTTACTATCGCAAGGTTTGCTCAGAAGACATTCTTGTCTCGGTTAGCATAAAACTTCAGATCATATTGTACCAACACTCCTAGTTCCTTTTTAAATTGAGATACCTTTAGAGGGGTGTTGGCTAGGTCGTATTCATAGTCTGGAACATGTCTCAGATGGACTATTTTACACTTTAAAATGGTAAAGGTAAGACCGTTGTTCTCCAGGTTTATTCACACACCAGCGAAATGTTACCCCAACATCAACTTTCTTTGGTAGAATTAATGAGCTGTTATTTCCCTCGGATCTGCGTCTGATTAGTTCTGTTTTGTTCTTGGTTATAAAAGGGTATGGTTCGTGTAATATTCCTTCTGGAAACTAAAGGACACAACAATCAGTAAATGATAGAAACGATTGAGGAGTTATACTTAAATGAATTTCCCTCAGTACTTACGGAGCTAGAGTATACGTCAAGCCTTCTTTTGGAAAACTGGGCAGAGGATATCAAAACTGTGGCTTCTAATAGACAAGCCACTGGTTCGAACCGTGATATAGTCCCCACGGAATTTCGTGAAAAGTCTTTCGTCTCCTGTCTTGGGAGGATATTCTTTTAAGTAAAGATGGGTGGGGAGAACCATAAGAAATATGATATATCATGATCATATTCCTCCTATGTTTCACCGGCAGTTAGTCAAGGGCATCCAAGCTAACTGGGTAAAATTTAAACAACTTTTTAGTTGATCTTCTTTGAACACTTTCACAGAGAACAACATTAATTTTCAGGCGAGGGAAAATATCTCAGAGGTTGTTTCCAGATCAGTTCTTAAACAAACACGGAAGTTTTAAGCATTTCC